ACAAATTGCCTGCGGTGCTGAAGCATGTTTTTGACAGATTTGGAAAAAAGGTCTTCTGTATGAGTTTTTCACTGAGATCATTATATAAAAGCCTACAAGCAGCAGAAATTGGTATTTGATTCTTCAATTAATTGTGATTGGACTGCATTAGAGGAAATATCTTTTTCTGAACAATTTTTAAATAAATATAGGTATTATACCTGCTTCCTAGGTAAATTGCTCAAGATTGCTGGTCTTTCCTTCTAACCATAATTTTGAAAAATTACAAATTTTGGGCCGCCAAAGCCATTACAATCAAGAAGGAATTTTTGATCTTCTAATCACATTTTGGCAAAATCCTTAAGCAGATGTCTAAAATATGTAAAATTTAGGGCCAAAACCATTAAAATCAGAGGGGATAGACTCTTCTTATCAACCAATCAATATTTAGGAAATTAAATAAGGTATTTAAAGATCTTTGGTGTTGTAAATTTCAGATTTTTGGTACTGTACAGGGTGTCCAAGATTCAATGGTTTTGGGGGGTTTCACGCTCAGTTAGTAGGGATGCGCCGAAGCGCCTTTTTTCCGATTCGGCCGAATAACGAATCGGTTCCAATTTTGCAGTGATTCGGCCGAAACTTCGGGGGAATCACAAAAATTAAGGGATTTGTTTATAAACAAAAAAAAAAACACCAATATTGCTTGAAATACCTATTTAATCAACATGTATTTGAATTTTAACGTTTGTGAAAAACATAAATAAAAAAACTCAAGAAATAATCTGCGGAATATTGCACCCAAAAATCAGAACACCGAAAAATAAAAAAACCATGAACTAACCAGCTAACGATGAGCTAATAGCTAATGATAACGAAACCAATTCCTACTTCTAAACAATAATTAATAATACTTCTGATTAAATGAAAAAATGTGCAAAAACTAATACCTATGTGTTTTCTTTTCAAATGATTGATCATAGATGTTGTGGAGGCATTTTTACCAAGACAACCTCGAGAAATCTGACCTTTACATGTATGGCACTTTGCATATCTGTTATTATCTTCACTTAATAAATAATATTTCCAAATATCACTCGACTTTTTAATCCTTTTCTAATTTTTACGTTTAAATACTCTAAATTGCTCAAGACGTTGCACGATTATGTTTAGAACATGAAATAAAAACTATAACCACGACAAGAAATTTTTGTCGCGTCGCTTCGGCCGAAGCGGCCGAATACCGAGGCTGAATCGATGCTTTGGCGCATCCCTAGTTTCAGGTATTTCTAAAGGAGTTGAAAAAGATCTGATTCCCACTTGTGAGCCCCGATTTTCAAGAGAAATTGGTTGGTATGAATAAAAACGAAGTACTTGCTACTACTACAAGTAGGTAGTAGTATATTCTACTAAGTATTTACTTCACAACGAAGGATTTACTATTTTCTGGTAGTTTCGAAATGTAGTATCTATTTTATTTTAAAGTAAATACTACGGAGAATATGCTACTACTTGTGGTAGTAGCAGATACTTCGTTTTTATTCATACCACCCATTGACTGGTGAAAACCGCATCTCGATATGTCGAGTCGTTTTTATGCTACGAGGTGGTTTTGAAAAGTTTGGAGTTTGGCAGGGCAGGGGGTCTATAACTTTTTGTGGCTTGAAAACGAATCGTTTTTCCAACTCCTCTAGAAATACCCAAAACCCGCCAAAACCATCGAATCTTGGACACCCTGTACATTTTTTTTCAGAAAGTACAGTTGAGATGATATTCCGATCAGTTGAATAAAATCATGATTTTGATCAGTATTGTTTTTCAAAGTTCAGTTAAAAACCATAAAAGCCACAAATATGAAATTCTCTGGTATAAGGCATAGAGCAGAACATACCAAAAATTCAAAGCAATTGAACAAAGGACACAAAATTATACAGTACAACCTCGATAATCCGAACTAATTATTGTTTAGGTCAGTTCGGATTACCGATTTGTTCGGATTATCAAAATGCTTGGTAAATTTACCATAAATATGCAAATAATCAAAAATAAGCCTTATTTTTTAAGACAAATATAAATGTACGTAATTAACTCTGAGTTTAACTTAGGTTAGACAAGTAAAACAATTATGTAATGTACTTTTTTTTGCTTCATACTGGCTTCTTCTCCCATTTCCGTCATCTTTTTCATTTCTTTGAGGGCCGGTTCATTCACCTTCTGATAAGTTGTCAAATCTGACGGATAAAAAGGCAATCTGTAATCCCAGTCGGCCAGTTATCCGCCGACCAATGGAATTATAAAACAGTAATTTTATCTTGCAGATAGTTAGGTACCAGGAAGATGAATAAACCAAGCTTTAGAATAAAAATGTTCTCAGCTGCTTCAGAATTTTGTGAAATAGGTTTGAAAACATATTACTGCTTCTCTATGAGTCACGTTGGTCGGTAGTAGTCAGTACGATTTCTTCAGATTCTTCTTCGGATTTTTCTGATCCCGCTTTGAGAACATTATTACCTATTAAATTTTACGTAGCGCGCGTAGCGTAATGCGATTTTCAGCAGTTGTTCGGATTATCAAGATTTGTTCGGATTATGCCTTCAAGCGTTCGCTGTTCGGATTAACACATGGTGAGATTATCGAGGTTGTACTGTATATACAAATACATAGTTTTTGAAGGACTGAAATATGACAATCTTATATAAACGGGGTAATTTCTCAAAAACTATAAAAGCCACAAATATAAAATTTTCTGGTATCCTGTATAAAATTCAAAGCAGTGGAGCAAATGACACAAAAGATACAAAATGATTTATAGAAATACATAGTTTTGGAGGAATGAAATATGACAATCTTACACAAGGGGCAAACCACCTAGGAATTCTTTGCCAAAAATGTATTTAGAGAAATTTATAAAAAATTTAGAGGAATTTGTGGGAAATTTGAAGGAACTCATCTGAAATTATGAGAATTTAGGGAATTTGGAAGAATTTTTATGTGGAATTTGGGACAATTTGTGAGGAATTTAAAGGAAATTGTAGGGTCATGACATCACTGAGGTTCACATTCTTATTATAAAAAATAGTAATAAATGGAAATTTAAAAAAATAAATCTAGTTTTGTGTTGGAAGTTGGATATTCATTTTTATTAAAGAAATCCTTCCAAAATTACATGTCATGATTTACACGAGGGGTGTTTCACCTACCCAAAAATGTGTACCCCACTGCCTAAGTTAGGCAATGTTTGATAACACTGCTTAGTCAATGCCTATAGCGATTGCTGCAAACATTTCTGTCAATGCTGACAATGCTGCCATCAATGTCAAGAATGCCGACAATGCTGCCATCAATGTCAAGAATGCCAACATCAATGCCGTCAATTCCGACACAATACCGTCAATTCCGACATCAATGCCGTCAATTCCAACAATTCTGACATCAATGCCGTCAATTCCGCGATCACTGCCTCAATTTCCCTTATTTACCCACAATTCCTAAATCATTACTCTCACTGCCGTAATTATTGCCGTAAATTTGTACACCAATGCCAATCATGAAGCACCTCTCGGATTTACTGGTCCAAATTTAAAAAATTCAAAAGAAAAATGAATACAGTTTTTGTAGGCCGATTTTTTCATGTTACTGTTTTTCACTGGAAAAATTTGAAACTTTGGAAAAATAAGCTTCTCACCTTCCTCTCTACATGCAAAAAGTTTCAAAATTTTTCCTTCACTAGTTTTCCAGGAAAACTTTGAAATATTCAAGACTGTATTTTCAATTAATTCAGTGAGACTGTGAAAATTTGAAATTTTGGGAAAATGAGCTTCTCGCCTTCCTCTTTACATGCAAAAAGTTTCAAAAGTTTCCCTTTACTAGTTTTCCAGGAAAACTTTGAAATGTGTGAGACTGTATTTTCAATTAATTCAGTTATTGTAGGTTGATTTCCAAGATTCCTCATGTTGTAATTTTCTACTGGGAAAATGAGCTTCTCACCTTCCTCTTTGCATACAAAAAGTTTCAAAATTTTCCCTTCATTAGTTTTCCAGGAAAACTTTGAAATATTCCAGACTGTATTTTCAATTAATCCAGTTATTGTAGGTTGATTTCTAAGATTCCTCATGTTGTAATTTTCTACTGGAAAAATTTGAAATTCTGGGAAAATGAGCTTCTCACCTTTCTCTTTACATGCAAAAAGTTTCAAAATTTTCCCTTCACTAGTTTTCCAGGAAAACTTTGAAATATGTGAGATTGTGTTTTCAATTAATCCAATTATTGTAGGTTGATTTCCAAGATTTTTCATGTTGCTGTTTCCACTTGTAAGAGACATTTGTAAGAAATTTGAGACAAGTTTGGAGGAATTTGAAGGGAATTTAGAGGAATTTGTGGGGTATTTGGAGAAGTTCCTGGTGTGGTTATTTGGAAGAATTTGTGCTAAGGTATCTAGAGGAATTAGCAGGAATTATGCGTAAAAAATTCCCCTTTGAGGAATTGTTTGCACCAATTCTGAGATGGCGGTTTACCCCTTGATCTTACATAAATGGGGTACCTAATTTCTCAGAAACTATAAAAGCCACAGATATGAAATTTTCTGGTATCCTGTATAAGGCATTAAAGCAGGATATACCAAAAATTCAAAACAGTTGAACAAAGGACATAAAAGTTACAAAGTGATTTATACAAATACATAGTTTTTGAAGGAATGAAATGTGACAATTTTACATTAATGGGAGAATTTCTCTAAAACTATAGAAGCCACAAATATGGAATTTTCTGGTATCCTTCATAGGACATTAGAGCAGCACATACCAAAGGTATCCAATATTTCAAGGTTTTCATCTATAAACTCCTCAATAAATTCAGTATGGGAAAATCCTTTGAGAATGTTAGTGATCAAACATGAGATCATTATTGGAAGTGTGTTTTATTTCAATATCTTCATTTACTAGACTGTCGTTTAGTTTTTGTTGCATTTTGACATTCAATAATTACTGTTCCATTTTGAATACTGAAACATTTCTTTGTCCATCCAGATCGTGGCCGTAACGACGGCTCACTCCAAACGTCCGACGACGATTCTTATCCAAATGACAACATGAGCGTCGCCAGCAACTTCTCAGAAAACTGTAGCGTCGAAGACAACGTCACCGACGAATTCGCTCAGGACCAGCTCGAAGACAAACTAACCGACATCATTGACGGTCTGACTCAGAAATCGTCTCAGGGTCGTACGAATTGCTACAAAACCTTCACCAAAGGTTTAATAAACAAGTACATGCCCAATTTTATCAAGGACCGGACTTTTACCTTGTGCGATTGCATAGAGAAGAGCTTGAAAAAGGGAGGAGCTGACGAAAAGTGCGCTGCTGCTGATTTGGCTACAATTATGTGCGTACAATTGAGTAGCGATTCTACAAGTGAAGATATTTGTAGAACTTTGAAACCTATTTTATTGGCCATGGCTTGTGATAATTCTGCTTCACCTAAAGTTAGAGCTAATGTAAGTTTTTTTACTAATTGATTATTTATTATTAATTGATAAATTTATTTTCAGTGTTGTTTAGCTTTGGGTAATATATCGTTTATTTCAAATGGAGATATGGCTGAAAATTTGGCACTAATGCAACAATTTGAAACAATATTTTCTGGTAGTTACCTAAAAGGAGATGGTTCGGTGCCAACTACTAGTGCAGAAACTGGGGCTTTGCACGCAGCTGCTTTAAATGCTTGGGCATTGCTTTTTACTTTGATTGTGCCTGGAAATATTGGCACTATGATGAATAATTCAAAAACTTTACCGTACGTAATTCTTGTCAATCTCCTTATATTCTAAGTAATAATAATTAATTTGTAGTAATCTAGAACACATATCTGAATTACTTGAATCAGCACATTTAGAAGTTAGAATGGCAGCTGGTGAGGCTTTGGCATTAATCTACGAAATTGGTAGAGAAGAAAGCGATGATTTCGAAGACGATTTTGCATTGGATTTAATAGAAACCCTTAAACAACTGGCAACAGATTCTCACAAATACCGTGCCAAAAAAGATAGAAAACAACAAAGAGCTACTTTCAGAGACATTTTGCAATTCATTGAAGAAGATATGATTTCAGAAGTGCAAATAAAATTTGGCAAAGATGTTTTGACTCTTGATACTTGGGTTAGAAGGAAACAGTATGATGCTTTGTGCAATATTTTGGGACCCAGTATTAATCAACATCTGATTGATAATGATTTGCTCAAGGATATTTTTGAATTTGAAACTACTGAGGCTGACTCTAAATTGACTGTCACTGCTCAAAATCGTTTGGAAAGGAATAGAAAGGTGAGTTTTGATTGTTTTTTTTTTTTGTGAATAAGTTGATTTTTAATTGTATTTTAGAGAATCTTGAATGCTGCCAATGACAAAGCGCGCACGCTATCTAGAGCAAAGAACAGGGATAAGCGTTCGGATTTTTAATGTAAAAATTTCCATCTTATAAAAGTAGTAAAGTTTCAGCTTTCCTTAGTTAACTTATTTTATTCATTATGGAGTGATTGTGCTTAGTTCAATTTTATTTTCATAAGTAGCAAATTCTTTTGGCTTAAAAAGTGTTATCTAAGAATAAGGTTAATGTTGGTTCATTTTTTCTAAACTGATAAGTGAAAAATATATCTTTATTTGTTTTGCAATTAGTGCGAATTAAGTTTAAACATCTAAATATTATGTTGTGTATTTTTATTCCTAATAAATATTCGGTTTGATAAAAATAAACTGTGATATTTTTATTTTGATGTGATCTATGGTACTTTGTCCTTAGTTGTTTCTTTTTTTTTCAATGTTATGTTATAGTCATGTATAATTCTTGTTTTAAGCCTTATTGCTAAAGGTAATTATGAATGTTATGAAAGCTTACCCTCATATCTTTATTTTATAACAAAAGGTTAGAGTGACACATCTTGTATTATTATTTATTATTAACACTTTATTAATTATTGTTTGTTATGATATTTGCGCCTCAAAAGTTTTTGAGTAAATAGTCAAAATGTGGAGGCAAGTTATATTATAAAACCCCATGTTTTTATTATACTAATAATTCTCTTTTCCAATGGTAAATATAAGCATAGGCCATTGTAAAAGCACACAATATTATAAAGATGCTGAGTAAGTGGTACTGCCTGGAGAGGTTTCGCCCATGTGAATGCTAGCGTCAGCAGTATTTTATTATAAATACGGTGCGCAGAGCCTTCTCTCATTATTCTTTTGTATTGCAGCTTAGACTATAGCAATTTAGAATCAAAGATTCTTTTGTTCTCGGCTTCCGCCGCAGCAATTTTGAATCTAGTATTTTTTTGTTGTAAACTTCTCAGTTTTAATAAAATAAATAGTTTTAAAAAACAAGATTCACTGAACGAAAAATATAATAGGCATGTCATATGTAGTCTTATACTATGTGTCCACTTAAGTTCGCAGCATTTAGGAAACTTTTTTATTATCAATTTTACAAAAAAAGGTTATTCCTTATAAAAGTTTCTGCTTTTTGAAAAAATAATATTTAACTATTAAAACTTGAAAAAGCATGTATAGGGTGGTCAAAAAAATAGAAAAATATACAGAGTGTTTCCTAAGAACGGTTCGTAACTTCAGGATGTCATTCTTTACAATACCTATTTCAAGAAAAAAAGTTCCCATAATCATGTGTCCGGAACGGAAATGCGTAGTTTCTGAGATACAGAGTGTCAAAACATCGTTTTTTTAGCTCAAAAATCCTTTTTGCAATATTTTTTTTAAATTTGACAGGTTTGTGTGTGGATAACGAAAAGTATCTTTTGACTGCATATCACTTGCTTAATCTGAAAAAAATATCAAAGTTTAAAAAAAATAGTGATGTGCCATTTTTTTTTCTACTTCTACCAAAAAACCTTATATATTTTTTTATTTTCTGACCACCCTGTACAGGGTGGGTAACTTTTTTACATAAAATTGATAACAAAGGTTTCTCATATACTGCGAACTTAAGTGACATACTTTAGAAGAAAATATCCATTTTTAAAAACCTTGTAACTTTGTAATTTTTCATTCAATTAATTCAAATTTTTACTATGTTTTGTCTCTAAAGGCCAATTTCATAATAGAGAATTAAAAGTTACTTTAGCTAAATAGACTTTTAGGATAGGATTTTTCAACTTCAAATGGAGCTTTAAATTTAAAGTTTACTTTAAGTTGATTATGAAATTGGCCGTAAGCCTCACAATGTTACCCACAAAAAAAAAACAGCTTAAACAAATAATAAATTTATTTAAATTCAAACAATAACTAAACATAAAAGGCATTTCAATTTCTGGTTATAATCCCATCATAGAATGCAAAAATAATGATCAATACAAATTTTTACATTTGTTAAAGTATTATGTGGTAAGTAATTATCATAAATCTAAAAGCTACCTCTGGCCAATGAAAAATTATTCTTTATACAACAAAAAAATAACAAGCCTTAAAAATTCTAACAATAATGTGCCAATAACTATTTATTTATACACATTGGGTGATTATTGTATACTTTGGTATTTCAAATATACTATTCTAGTAGTTTACATAATAAGTAATATACCGTGGCAGTTTAATAATGGAATAAATATATGTAATGTAGTATGGAATGTATATAGAAAAAAAATATATATATTAAAGCCCTATAATAAAATCAAATTCTTCCTATATCATTTGGTATTTGTACTTTTCCTAGCAGCATTTTCACTTATCATTTCATTGGTCACATGCTCCCAAGCATTAACGCTAGCTTGATAATAATTGATTTGTTTATTGACGAAATCCAAAAGGATTTTCTTAATACATTGACGTTTTTCCAGCTGCCAGCCTTGCAAGTCGCTGCGTAAACACTCGTTGGCCATTTCCAAATGATCTTGAGAGGATTCGACTTTTTTTACCAGCTGCGGAATGTGAGTGCCTAGTTTTTCAAGTTTTTCATCGTAACTGGGCTGTTTCCATAGTACAAAGCCTCCTGAGTTTTGAGGCTGGTCTTGGGAAATTGCTAGTAGCTAAAATAAAAAAAAATCAAACATGTGTGCCACCATGACAATTTCATGTCAGTAAATATTATTTGTCAGTCAAAATTTAGGCTTTTTTGAGGCAGCTTTATTTCTGTGAACTGAAAAAATCGCGAAAATAATGGCAAAGATTCGTAAACGATCCAAAGTTGTGGACAAAATTACCAAGCAAAGGCAAATTTCCCATTTTCAAAAGAAAAACACCCGATCAGTTGCTGTAAAAGTTGAAAAAGTCCCAAAATCTGGCCGTAGTAAATAAATAAAACAACTATTTCTACATAGATAAATATTAATATTTTTTATATTTTAACAGGAAAATCTATTGTACCAGAAAAAAACAAATCCTCGAAATTGAGAAAGCTGAGTTTTGTGAAAAACAAGAAGAATAAGAAAAGGAAGCTTTCAGCAGCATCGAGGAAGAAGAAACATCTTCAGAAAATTAAATTGAATTTCCAACAACAAACCAACCTGGATCCGGCCGAGCAAGAGCTGCGATGTGGAATTTTGAATTCTCTCAAGTGTTTGTCCCTATAATAATAATTGGATCATGTTGTTTTTGAAATAAATTTCTTGTATGATTCAGTTGTGACCATGATTGTTTAGTACTAAAAATGATGAAATTTCAAATTTTGACTTTTTCATGTAAAATTAAGGAAAATTCATTCTCTCATATTTCAATTTTTTTCTGGAAAACTGGCAAAAGACGAAAAAAAGGAAAGTCAGGAACTCACTATAAGAAAATTTCACAATTTTCCAATGGAAAATCGCTCCAGGGAAAATTCTGAAAAAATGACTTTTTCAAGTAAAATTAAAAAAAACTCATCCTTTCACTTTTCAATTTATTTCTGGAAAACTAATAAAGCAAAACTTGTGAAATTTTTCCAGGAGAAAGAAGAAAATGAGGAGCTCATTATAGGAAAATTTCAAAATTTTCCAATGAAAAATCACTCCAAGAAAAATTCTGAAAAATTGACTTTTTCAAGTAAAATTAAGGAAAATTCACCCTCTTACATTTTAATTTTTTTCTGGAAAACTGGCAAAGGAAAAATTTTGAAAATTTTCCAGGAATAAGAGGAAAATGAGAAGCTTATTTTACGAAAATTTCAAAATTTTCCACTGAAAAATCACTTCAGGAAAAATTTTGAAAAACTTAATTTTTTTAAGCAAAATTAAGGAGAATTCCCACTCTTAAACATTTTAATTTTTTTCTAGAAATCTGGCAAAGGGAAAATTATGAAATTCTTCCAGAAGAAATGAAAAGTAAGGAGCTCATGATAGGAAAACTTCAAAATTTTCTAGTGGAAAATCACTCCAGGAAAAATTCTGGAAAATTGACTTTTTTAGGCAAACTTCACCCAATTACATTTTTATATTTTTTTGGGAAACTGGCAAAAGGAAAATTGTGAAAATTTTCCAGAAAAAAGAGGAACGTAAAGAGCTCATTATAGCAAAATTTGAAAATTTTCCAATGAAAAATTACTCCATAAAAAATTCTGGAAAATTGACTTAAAGCAAAATTAAGGAAAATTCACCCTCTTACATTTTATTTTTTTTTCTGGAAAACTGGCATAGGGAAAACTTTTGAAAATTTTCCAGGAAAAAGAGGAAAGTGAGGAGCTTATTATAGGGAAATTTCGAAATTTTCCAGTGAGAAATCACTTTAGGGAAAATTCTGGAAAATTGATTTTTTAAGTAAAATTCATCCTTTCACATTTCAATTTTTTTCTGGAAAACTGGCAAAGCAAAAATTGTGGAATTTTTCCAGAAGGAAGAGGAAAGTGAGGAACTCAATAGGTATAAGAAGATTCTGGAAAATTGAGTTATTTAAGCAAAATTAAGGAAAATTCACCATTTCACACTTAAATTTTTTTTTGGAAAACTGGCAAAGGGAAAATTTGGAACATTTTCCAGGAAAAGGAGAAAAGTGAGGAGTTCATTATTAGAGGAAAATTTCAAAATTTTCCAGTGAAAAATCACTCCAGAATTTATTTATATACAGGGTGTATATTTTAAGTGATACCACTATGGCTATATCCGAAACGGTAAGAGCTACATGGTCGGTTAAATTAGAAAAAAGTTGCCTTTTTTGATGCTCATTCAAGACTTGTTTACAGTGTTGCCAAAGTCCTTTTAGTTTATGAAATACAGGGCGATTTATAAAAAAGGCCTAAAATTATTTCGTCAATTATTTTGAAAACTATTGATATTCGGGACACAATTTAAATTTGAAAGTTTTATAATTTTTTTCGCTCTACGACATGGCATCTTCAAATTTTAAATCCGACGTTTCGTGATCGAGATACCATCATCAACTTCATTTTTTTAAATATGGACCTGGATTTTTAATGTCATTTTTGGAAAGAGGATTAAGGGCGCTTCCTAAAAATGACATAAAAAATCCAGGTCCGTATTTAAAAAAATGAAGTTGATGATGGTATTTCGATCACGAAACGTCGGATTTGAAATTTGAAGATGTCATGTTGTAGAGCGGAAAAAATTATAAAACTTTCAAATTTAAATTGTGTCCCGAATATCAATAGTTTTCGAAATAAATGATGAAATATTTTTGGACGTTTCTTAGAAATCACCCTGTATTTCATAAACTAAAAGAAATTTGGCAACACTGTAAACGAGTCTTAAATGGGCATCAAACAAGGCAACTTTTTTCTAATTTAACCGACCATGTAGCTCTTACCGTTTCGGATATAGCAATAGTGGTATCACTTAAAATATACACCCTGTATATTCGGATAACTGAATAAACTCTATTCTAAGTTGAAAAATGTATGATAAAACAATAATTCCGAAGGTGTTCTATGAAATAATCTATGGCTTAACTTTTTCTCTAAGTTATCACGTTATCGATGACACAAATAAAAACCTTTGTGCCGTGCAAAATCATATTTTTCAAAAAAAAAAAAAGGCAAATGATGATGTAAGTACAAATCCTCGTGAAACTAACTTTTTTTACGCGTCTCATTTCTTTTTCATCAAACCCCATCACACCTAAAATTTGGAGCCTAGTTGCGCTTATGTGCATTGGAGCAAGATACGATAAAAATTCAAAGCAATTGAACAAAGGACACAAAAGTTACAAACTGATTAATACAAAGACATAATTTCTGAAGGAATGAAATAAGACAATCTTACATAAATGGGGTAATTTCTCAAAAACTATAAAAGCCAAAAATATCAAATTTTCTGGAATCCTTTATAATGCATTGAAGCAGGATACACCAAAAATTCAAAGCAAATGAACAAAGGACTCAAAAGTTATAAAGTGTTTTATACAAATACAGTTTCCCCAAATTCCTTAACACAATTTTTTCTAAACGAGTTGAAATCATAAGTTTTTAGACATTTTTCTTAAATTTAGCTACTCAGAATTTAATCAGAAACTACTTCTTACTACACTCACTCACACATCCATATAGAAAAAAAAAGCTGAAAATATGAAGTGAGTGCTGTATTAGGTAAACAATAAAATGGTAGAAGTATCAGTGAATTAATACTCTCAAAAACCAGAAAAATGGTACCAAAAAGGAGCTGAAAAACAAAACAAGTTGCAGCAGTGCAAAATAGTCAGACCTGTCAAGAAGAATAGAATCAAAATCCAGACGTACAATATTGTATTGTTCTTTGTATATTTACAAAGAACAATATGTTGTAGTTGTTTACTTACTTTATCTTTTTCACTGTGTCTTTTATTCAACTCCTCCAAAGACGTCTCATAAGCATACTGATGTGACTCCCTTTTCCTAAGAGCTTCTTGAACCACCTCAATGTATTGCACGAAATCTTTAATAGGCACCACCATGCTGTTATTATAACTATGGACTAGTGCACTCTGAGCTGCTGAACTGCGTTCCAAAGCATTACCCAAATTTTCCAAAGTGGTGCACAGCTGAGGCTCGAAACTGGCCCATTTGGTAAAAATCGGATGGAAATTGTTTATTTCTGATATCAGATCGTTTCGTTCCTTGTTTATTCGGTTGGATATTTTTTCAACTGATAGTAATTTATCTGTTAAATTAATCAGGTAAGTTCTCATTTTATCAAATTCAATATGACGGTTTTTCAATAGGGAATGCGTTGAACTTGGATTATTTGAGATTGCTATAGTATTTGATATTGAGCTCCGCTTTTTTCTAAAGGTGGTAAAGTCCTGAAACAAGTAATTGGTACATTATTAGAAACAATTTTCTGTTATTAGTTATTAATGCACTTACTGGTTGTGTTGCAGTCAAAAATATTTTAAAATTTTCATTACAACTTAAAATCGGATGTTGGCATATTCGCAATATAAAAACATTTAATGATTTCATTCTGGAAAGTATAAAGTCCTTGGAGTATCTATCTAGCTGGCCAATTAATGAGTGTTTTGCAGGTAATGGCTAAAACAATAGTTTAATACAATTACAAGAATCAATTCAACTTCAAATGACTTACTGGAACAATACAAAAAGGATGACACTCGAGTAATTTCTGCCTCAACCACAAAAAATCATTATACCTCCTCCGAACCACGTACTCGTGATCAGAAAACTCGATCCTGGCTGCCCTTGTAGTAACCCGGAACGAAATATAAGTCTCCATAGTCTCCAAATGCTTTTCGGGATTATCAATTTTAACGCAAAGGTCTGAGTTCTCATCCATATTCAGCTCGGACATGTTTTCAATGTCGTGTATACTGGAAAAGCTTTCTATGCTCGGCGATTGTACCTGTAATTTGTTGTTGTTATTACGAACAATTAACGTCAATTTGCAAATTGAATACGTACTAATGAGGTGTCGTTATCAAAGGTTGACTCACTGCATATACTGGAACGGTCCGGGTCTTTTGATAAATTATCTTTGGCTAATATGGACGAAATTTCTTTAGGCTCTGAGACCACGTTTAAAACTGCCGAATTTTTGCTGCTGTTCATTTTATATAAATAATTGGATTTTAATAATAATAACAATTTTAGTTTTTTTAGGTTAAAAAACAAATTATCTTTTTTTTGACAATCAGCTGATTTTGATGGTGTTCGGAGTGAGAGCATTTGGAGTGGAGTAACGCATTCTTAGAGTAAAAAAAAGCGAAATATACCCAAACAACTCATAACTTTTCGTGCAATAAAAATGTAATGAATTTAAATTTTCAAGCAATTAATGTTTATTAATTTTACGGGTTTTCAGCTCAAAATAACAATTCCCTAACGCATCGAGTGTTTACTGCACTTGGAGTTTATAGAACACTCATTCCGAACCCGCCAAGAGTGGTTCCGAAACTATTCTCGGGACAGTTACTCTACTTTCCCAATGTGAAACTTTCGGACCAAGCTCCATTTACTCGACTTCGTATATGGTACTCTGTTTGCGCTAAACCTAAATACCCAAACAGTCGGTGTGAATACAAATTTTGAATTCAGAAGTGCTTTCCAGTGACCCTTTGAGTTACTCCTGAGCAGCTCAGGAGTGCTCCAGACTTACTTTGCGCGTTCCAGTGCTTAAAATGTCGTACACTTGAACTACTCATTTCTGTTATCCCCTGTCCTCTCGTACACCAACCTTTATTTCGGTGTTCCATGCTCCTGAAGTCCGAAATGGTGGGGGTTAAGACGAGAGCGTTTCAGTGTTGCTTATGTCGAACAGTTCAAGAGCGTCACACTCCAGGAGCATGATACTCTCAATTTATAGGCACTGGAAAGCAGCTCTGGTATGTTCAGTGCAGGTAGTCGAGTACACCAAAAGAAAAAGTGTAACTTTACTTATGTCAACTGACATTTGTCAGTGTCACATGGCACAAAAATAAAACGAAAAAATTTGTGGTTCCAAAAAGGGTTTTTGTGAAAACAAATCTCTATTTATAGGTTTGTATCAGTTACAATTCTGGGCCCCAGAAAATGTCGCATCAAACAGGAATAAAAGGTAGACAAAGCAAAGAAATAACTATAGAAAAATTGCCATTTAACAAAATAACCGGAACATTTTTGATTTTCAGCCAATGAAACACTGAAAAAATTCTTTTCCAAAGCTAAGGAGGGAAAGATACGATTGTTTAAAGTAGCTATAGAAGATGGTAAGTGTAGGTTTATTTTTTGTAACCTATTTTTGACTACTTCTGAAAAGATTGTTATGTAAACGTAAACAACTAAATTCTGGGAAACACCAATTTTTAGGTCTGTTCGCACAGAAATCATAAACCAGTCAGAGCGAATTTCATTGGTTGAAAACTGTTTTCCAACCAATAAAATTTGTTCTGACTACTGTCCGCCCAAGTTAAGAACACCGGTTGAAAAAATGTGAAGAATTTTAGTACATAGAAAACATAGTTGTCACGTACACACACTACAAAAAAATGAGGCGTTTAATAATTGTTATTTGTTAACAACTGTGATACACCTCATTTTTTTGTAGTTAGTGTATGTGAAAACTATGTTTTCTATGAACTAAAATTCTTCACATTTTTTTAACCGGTGTTCTTAACTTGGGCGGACAGTAGTTTGTGATTTCTGTGCGAACTGACCTTTTATTGTATAAACCTTATACAGTAGTATCGCGATAATCCGAATCAATTAAAACCAGACCAATCCGGATTATCAAATTATTCGGATTACTAAGGCATTTTACAGTCCGCTTCTTTAAGGTTTTGTAGCATCATTCAGTGTTGCCACAGGCTCTAAAAATTTCGTGCCAGACTATGAAATTAAAAGGGGCCAGATTTCAGATTTTCAGGCAAACCGTTTTCAAATTAAAGGTGGGTTTATACAGCACATAACATAACATAAGAAATAGGATAAAATAAGACATAACATAATACAATAAATAAAAATTTTGTGGCGTTTATACATAAAATAACATAGGTAACGTAAGAAATAATTTCTAATCAATCAGCTGGTACCTACATGTACTTATGTAAACTCTACCGAAAACACTATATTTGATCAAAAAAATTATTAATTAATAGAAGAGAATGAGTACAAAAAATACAGAAATTACCTTAAAAAAATTATCAATAATGCTAAAAATATATACTACAAATCAAAACTTGAAGAGAACAGAAATAACTTAAAGAAGACATACGCGATTATAGATCAAGCCATTAACATAAAAAACAAAAAAGATAATTCAATTAATATTTTTTAGATAATGATAAAGCATTTCCTAATGATAAAGAAATGAGTGATTTTTGTAACAACTATTTCTCAAAGGTTGGAATAGACATGTTTGATGGCATCCCTGACAGTATGGAGAGGTTTCCTCCAAGCATTTCAAATAAATCCATGTTCCTAAGACCAGTAGGTAATAGTGAACTAATAAAACACATAGCAAGTTTAAAAAATAACAGCGCTCCTGGGAATGATGGAGTTTCTGCAAGAATAATCAAACAGTTACACTACTACCTGATTATGCCCCTTAAATACATTATAAATTTAATATTTGAAACCGGAATTGTACCCAAACAACTTAAAATCTCTATAATTACTCCAATACTGAAATCGGGAAATTCGAGCCAGGTCTGTAATTACAGACCGATTAGTGTAATCTCAAACTTTGCCAAGCTTTTTGAGAAGTGTTTGAGGGAAAGGCTTAATGATTTTTTGAAGGGAAATGGCTTACTTTCACCGAATCAGTATGGTTTCACAGAAGGTCTGAACTCAAGTGATGCTATGTATCACTTAATAGAGGAAATTCGACAAAATTTGGATACTGATAAAAAGTGTTTGGCTGTGTTTCTGGATCTGGCAAGGGCCTTCGATACAGTGCCTCATAAAAAACTCCTACATGTTCTTGAACAAAATGGTGTGAGAGGTACTGTGTTGGGGGTGTTTGAGAGCTATCTGACTAATCGACAACAACAAGTGAAAATACGGGAAACTTTAAGTGACCCTAACATAGTGAAAATTCGAATTCCGCAAGGAACTGTTTTGGGTCCAATACTTTTCAATTTATATATAAAATCAATAACCGAATTGAATATTAGGGGAAAAGTAATTTCATATGCCGACGATACTGTGATTGTTTTCAATGGTTTGACCTGGCAGGAGGCTCGAGAAAATGCTGAAAATGGCATCTTCACTGTTAAAAAATGGCTTGACTATTACAAATTGTCACTGAACGTTAAAAAAACCAACTTTATTGCATTCACTAAAACTGAAAAAAATCGACCTCTGTTTAATTATATTGAAGTTAAAAATTTGTTAGAGAAAATAATTGAAGTTAAAAGTACTAAGTATCTTGGAATTATAATAGATTCTTACATAAGGTGGGACTTACATGTTGCTTACCTAAGTAAAAAGTTAAAGTACTTGATGTATAAATTTTACACACTAAAACAAATTTTGGATAGAAGTATGTTGATAACCCTGTACCAGAGCTTGGTCGAATCAGTACTGCGCTATGGAATATTGGTTTGGGGTAGCATGTATGGTACCTCTCTAAGACCACTTCAAATTATTCAGAATAAAATTTTAAAAATAATTTATAAAAAAGATATATTATACCCAACTCATCTCATCTACAACAAAACACTTATAAATGTAAGAACGATATTTTTCCATACAATATGTTGCTATATACATAATCATCATAATAACAAAATTACTATAGATCATTGTTATGGCACTAGAAGTAATAAATCTAGTCATCTGATTCAGGGTTGCATTGATTTAAATCACCTGATTTAAATCAGTGATTAAAATCGCGATTTTAATCAAATTATTATTATATTTTAATCGCATGATTTAAATCGCGATTTTGTAATTTGGTGATTTATAAAAAATATCAGTAAATATTAAGGTTTTTTTAGCGAGTAACCGTTTGTAGCCGTGTTATAAACGGTAACTGAAATTAGGCCTTTTCGGAAACGCTTATGATCACCAGCTGTTTGTTTTTTGTTTTTATTTAATCAACACGATTGAAGAAAGATATAGTAAATCAGCTGGTGATCCGGTTAATAAGATCAGCGTTTCCGAAAAGGCCTAATTTCAGTTACCGTTTACAAACGGTTAGTCGCTAAAAAATCCTTATTAAATCACCTGGGTCCAAAAATGTATAACCTGTTGCCCCATAGCATTAGGTGCTCAAGCGCTAGGCCTTTTTCTAAATTGGCAAAGAGTTTTATAGTAGAACAGTATGACCAATTTGTCATTGTATTTAGTCGGTAATCCATCATTTATCTTGTGGATGATATGTTGTAGATATGACAATTTGTAACATCACACTGTTAAAGTTTGGATAGGTTATCAGTTTATTGTATTTTTTTGGTTGTCTGTTAATTATTTCTCATTTCAATAGATATTCACTCCTGTAACATATTATTATTAGTATTATTATATAATATCGAGCCCATACAGGTGCCACAGCACCTAGGGGTTTTTTTTTGCCTCATATAATTAAATAGTTTTAAGTACATTATTATGTTTATGATCATGAAACTGTTAACTATTATTGAATAAATTGAAATTGAATAATTTAGCAGAAACAGAAAATAAATATCGAATTCCAAAAACTACCAATAGCTGAAAACAAAATCCAAATATTTATTTTTTTGGCATCAAGGGAGTAGCATGCGCAGATCCGTTTTCACATAAAATAAGACATTAAAGTTAAAAGTTAACCAACTTTCTTATTTCTCATGTTATGTTATGCTATGTTATTTTCTTTATAAACTCACCTTAAAAAGAAGAGAGAAAGCTCGGCGCAGGCGCCGCCGGAGGCAGAAATTTTTTCGGGTGTCACGCCTAAAAACGTTTTATTTTGCATCAAAAAATAATGATTTGGCTTGTTATGGAGAAACGGGCCAGATTCGATCCGTCTTAGAAAGGGCCAAATCTGGCCATATGGGGCCACCTGTGGCAACACTGGCATCATTATTTCTTTCAAAGGTACGTCATTCTCTGTAGCCCACTGTAGAGTAAAATTTAGGCTTTTCAAAGCATCTTGATGTTTAACTCTGACTGGAGCGGTAATTTCCATCGTATCATTGTCCGAGTCAGCCTATCATTTTCATCAATTAAATTTTCTAGCTGAATCAATTTGGCATCAACATCAATCCAATGTGCTTTTATTTTCAAGAGTCATGTAAATGAATTCGGATTACTGAATCAAGTTAAATCCGGATTACAGAGTACATCAAGGGAATGAAAATGCGATGCGGATTACAGAAGCATACGGATTATCGCGGGATCGGATTATCGCGACACTACTGTAGTATAGATCTTTTTGTTAAACCCCCATTGCGATTATTGGTAATAGAAATAGATAAATAGAGCAAACTCCAACTAGATTCCCAGATTTAAGCTCCTATGATTTTTCATGGGTTCATCACAGGTCTGTTTGCACAAAAATTCCAAAACAAGTCAGAGCATTTATGATTCGTGCAAATCACTAACAACCAGTTTTCTGACTGTTTTCAACCAATGAAATTCGCTCTGATAGGTTTGTGGTTTCTGTGAGAACAAACCTAAAATAACCAAATGTAAACCACAATTTTTCAAAAAATTTACTTTATTCAAAATGAAGAATTTTTCATAAACTCCACTAGAAGGAAGCCAAAGATTATTTTCCCACTGGTTTCACTCTATTACAAATTTTCAAAATTGATTTGAGGGCATATTTTTGAGGCCTAGAGGCAAAAGATACTAAAAATTCGAATGAATTGAATGAAAAACTTGCTTAGTTACAAGGTTTTTAAAAATGGACATTTTCTTCTATAATTATAAGACTAAATAGGACATGCTTCCATATTTTAACCATTGACTCAAAGACTAATTTAGGCGCAAATATAAGACTTTGAGGGAATATTTTTAAGGCTTAGAGGAATACTGAAAATTGAAAATTCAAATTAAGTGAATGAAAAATTGCAAAGTTACAAGTTTTTGAAAAATCCTCTACCAAGTTAGCAATACCACATGCACACCAGAAAATGGTTGTCTCTACTAGGATAAGAATCGCTGAAAATTTCAACTTTCTATCTATAATAGAAAAAAAGTTATGACCATTCAAAATTTTCAGAAATCCAAATCTAAGGTTTGCCTGGCATTCGGCTATTCTTATATGACCCAGTAGGCTTAATCCACTTAAAATTACATTGTGCAGCTGACATCCAACAGCAAATCATAATTCAACCATTTCTCGCCGGCATTCGGTAGTGCCCCACTGCTTCACTTACCTTAAATAGTATAATCGTGCAACAAATGGGATCCTAACCTATTATGGCGTATGGCTTCCCCAGGAGACACCAATTACCAAAAAGAAATAATCAAACCACAAATTGTTGTTCTGGATGTCAGTGATACACAAAATGGTAATTATAAAGAGGAAGTTATTGAAAACATAATGCTCAAAGCTTAATACCAAACTTGCTCAACTAGAAGTAGCTTACGAAAGTTCTGATTTCTGTATATCACCCTTAAAAAAAAACGAAGGTAAATTCCTTTGGAAAGTTTATAAGTGCCTAGAGGGACTTTTCTAGGACCTGTGGCGTGACTGAAGGGCAGGATAAGAAGGCTATAAATAGTTGTTGGTAATTACAAAATTTGATAATTTGTACATTAATCAATTATAAGAAAATTCGGTCAAGAATGCTCACTAAACTTCAAATACTTACTTATATAATTATTATTTTTTTAATAGCTTATTCCTCGATGGTAAATAGTCTACTGCGGAATGACGAATTTAAAAATAGATAAGAAAAGAAAGGAACAATGTTGTTTACATCACCTGGTCCCTTTTTTTATTACTTCATGGTGATGATTCATCAATTATTAGGTATAATAATATTGAGATAAATAAATCCTTGCTGAAATGCACCAAACATCAATTTTTCTTTTTTTATTATTCATTGATCCCACACCTTAAAACAGTACAATACATACTGGCACCAAGGCCTTCAAAAACTAACAGTTATATAAGTATTGAGTAGATAAGTCAAGACACGGTAAATGCCACTAGTGTTAACTCCTTCAAAAATCGTGTAGACAGAGATATAAGTGAAAACAATAACCAATTTGTCCACTATCCCCAGTAAACTAGTGACAAAATAATACCATATCTGAGATACAATGAATGTGACAATTAATTATGGATTTAAAATTGTGAACTGATATAAAAACCAATCAATAATAGGCTTTGCTGCCTTTTATTGTGAAATATTGATAATAATATTAATTATAATAATAAATTACAAGAATATATTCCTTCAAAAACTAGGTTACGGCTCACTTTCGGTTGACTTCCTATGAAATAAACTTTGGGTACAACACCAATACTGCAATCTTGTTTTTGTCGATTTCGTTTGATACATGTTCCAGAAGATCTACAGTACACCCAAGGTACTACTGTTTATTCAGAACCCATACTGCCCACTATCAAATTTAAAGGAACCATTGATAAAACTTACTAGTCTGGTTTTAATGACTTTTTCAAGTACTTTGGAGAAGGTGCTTAGTAGGGATATTGGTCGGTAGTTATGTAGTTCATCTTGAGCGCCTTTTTTATTCAATCATATGACTTTAGCGATTTTTAGCTCTTGTGGATAAATACCTGTTTTAAGGATTTTATTGATCATGTCCACCATTTTCTCTACAATTATGTGGAATAATTTTAAGAGATCGGACTTTGTCACACTGTCCATTTCTGGAGCACAGATGATCTTAAGAGTTGTTATTATTTCTTTAATTTCATTTGTATCAGTTGGGATAAGGAATATATTTTCATTTATCGATTGTTCTCAAATTGTCCCTGGGGGTCTTTTATGCTTAAAGCAATATTTGAAAAATGCCTGTTAAATTCTTGAGCTATTTCTGTCACTTTCCAGTTTTCTACCATCTGTCACTATAATTTTGTGAATTTTGCTTTTGTGTCCATTTCTACCACATAAATTATTTAAGACTTTCCAGACTTTTTTATGATCGCCATTTGTTTCTTGGAACTGTTTTTTTGCATACCTTTTTTGTAAATAACGTCTCATATTGTCTAGTTCATTTTTTGCTGTTTTGAACTCTTTCTCCGTGTGATCATTTTGAATCCTCTTCCACCTTAAGTATAATTTGTCTCGATGCCCAAGCATTCTTATGTATGAGTCATTTATCCAATAATTTTTTGTTTGTATTTTAAGTATTTTTTCTGATATATCGACTCTGTAGAGCAAAAGGGGGCAAAGCGGCAATTGGATCATTTTTGAGATAACCACCATAACATCTTCATACCCCAACTCACCTTGTGTAAAACGGTAACAAGCGGCACATACATAAACTCATGTGGACAGAAAAAGTACAAATAATTGCAGATAAATAATAATTTTCGAAATTGCAGTTTTATTCGAGGTTTTCTTGGTTTTCTCAACAATCTTGTATTTGGCACATGGCACATTCTTATTCTACAGGAGCGATATGTTCTTTTTTGGTTTCAATTATGATATTAGCAAGCTGTTTAAATGTTTCTATATCTTCTTGTTCATGCCTCAAACTCACACTATGTAACCACGCCTCTGTATTCAATTGAAATTTCTTAAATATTTCCTTCTCTTTACTGAATGTCATTTTTTTTACTTGTATGTAGACTATTTTATGATCAGATATTGAATTATCTGCTAATGTTAAATTGCAAATAATATTCTTGCTTGTTATGATGTGATGAAGTATTGAGGCTGTATTGGTTGTTGTTCGAGTAGCATTTTCAGATGTAGTAGTATTTTGTATTTGATATCCATTTAACTTATCAGAGTTTTCATAATCCACTACAGCACCCGCATTTTTAAGCAAGTCCAAATTCACATCTCCAAGCAAGGCTTTTTTGTCTCTTCAGTAACTTATCGAATATACAGACCATATATTGTTAAGTTCTGTCGTGGCAAGTACACAGAAACAATGTTGCAGTGTACACTACCTATAATGAATACTGAAGAGTTTTTTGTTAGTTAGCCGGTCTGTCTGCCAGAGGGTACAGAGGTCCCATACGGGATGGGGATGCTACCCAGCTATAGTTGTTATTTTGAGGCATTTTGAGCCAATCTCTCTTTCCTTTGTTTGGTAGGATATTCGCTCGTCAGGGTAGGAAAATGTTAGTAAATTTAACAAGGCCCTAATGCACTTTCTGAATACACAAAATCAAAATCTCAGCACAAAAAGACAGCACATAATTTCTTAGGTTTTAATTTACTTCTTTATCTGTGTTGTTTACAGCACGACACGATTTTTGTTAAATACATGAACAATGCACATGCTATAAAAAATGTTAGAAACAAACAAAAAATTACATAAAAATGAAAAAATAATACTTGTATAAATAATTGAACTCTCAAAAACAAAATAACAATTATTCAACTGACCTGTGATCGCTCCTTGATACACACACTAATAACAAATTGGATTGAGCAATCAGTTTAATGCAAAATAAAAATAAAAATTGAATAATGAATAACATGGTTGCAACATTTACTTTTATTTTTGAGGCAAAACATACTAAAAATTTAAATCAATTGAACAAAAAAATGCAAAGTTACGAGGTTTTTAAAAATGGACATTTTCCGCTATAAGACTAAATATGACATGCCACCAAATTTTGACCATTTACTCAAAGACTACTTGAGGTGCAAATATATGACTTTGAGGGAATATTTTTGAGGCTTAAAGGCAAAACATACTAAAAATTAAAGTTAATTGAATGAAAAATTGCAAAGTTACAAGGTTTATAAAAATGGACATTTTTTCTTATAAGACTAAATATGACATGCCTCCACATTTTGACCATTCACTTAAAAACTGAGTTGCAAATATGAGATTTCCAAAGGAGATTTAAAAATTTGCATTTCAAAAATTAAACATTTTTATATGACATGTCTCTATACTTTGAGTATTTACTTTAAAACTACCCAAGGCAAAGATATGAGATTTTAAGGGAATATTTTTGAGTGTTTAAGGCAAAACGTACTAGCAATTCAAAACAATTGAACCAAAAATAAAAAAGTTACAAGATTTCTCAAATTGAACCTTTTTATATAATTATATAACATGCCTCAAGGTGCAAATATGAGATTTTGAGGGAATATTGGGAAAACAATCTCAATTTTCTCAAGTTTTTTAAACATACCCTTATGTTTTTTTGCATTTATTGAAAGTATAGTAAATACACTGAGACACTCAAATTATGGTACCACTTTTGTCTCCTCAGTACACTAAAAATTACAATTTATTTTAGAACAATTGGTGCTAAAAGAACAACACAACGAGAAAAGTAACTGGGAAAAAGACTATGACAAATATGTGATTCCATTGATTGAAGAAAATCAACCTTGTTACATCTTGTATAGGTAATAAATTTTTTCTATTTTGGTGTCATATCGAAGTCTTTTCGACACTAAAAGTAGTTTCGAAAAGAAGCTCTTTGTGACACTCCTTTTTTACTTATCGGAGGTTGGTAACACTGGCTGACTGATGGCCATCGAACTGTCATTCGCGATTTTAAAATAGAAGATTTCTTTATTTGGCATGTAGTGTTACCAACCTAAACATATGAAATTAGGAAATATGAAAATAAAATTTCCAAGAAAAATTTGTTTTTTTTAATTTATCAATACCAAAATAGAAAAAATAGTATAAAATATCCGTTTCATAAGACATTTTATCGCACTCGCCCTTTAGAAAACTCGCCTCCGGCTCGTTTTCTAATATAGGGCTCGTGCGATAAAATGACGTCTTATGAAACTTGTATTTTAATGTACTATTGTATTTTTTCCTGTCATTGTTATCACTGGAAGATTTTTTTTTGTATAAATAGATTGGACAATAAAACTTCCCTAGGATATGAATGGCTGTTCATCAGTTGGTCCCCAGATGGTGCTCCAATCCGTCAAAAAATGTTGTACGCATCCACTAAAGCCACCCTAAAGCAAGAATTTGGCTCTGCTCAAATCAAAGAAGAATTACATGGCACCAGCCTAGTAAGTCGTAACAAATATTTTCTAGAGCAATAATTCAACAAAAATTTTAGTCTGACATTACGCTGGATGGTTACAAGAAGCACAAAAAAAGCGTGGCAGCTCCTGCTCCATTGTCAATGCGAGAGGAAGAGCTGCAGGAACTTAAAAAAACTGAAGTACGCACCGAAATCAGTATAACGACTAAACAGCAAACTTTAGGAGGTGTGGAATTTCCTTTGACTAAAGCTGCAACTGAAGCTATTGAATCAATGGCCTCGGGTGTCTATGATTATATACAATTGCGCATAGATATTCCAGAAGAAACGATTCACGTGGCCAGCGCTGGAAATATTTCTTTGGAAAAACTTCCTTCGAAAATTCCAACTGATACTGCTAGATATCATTTATTTAATTTTAAGCACACGCATGAAGGTGATTATACAGAAAGTATAGTATTTATTTACTCTATGCCAGGATACAATTGTACAGTCAAAGAAAGGATGCTTTATTCTAGTTGCAAAAATCCACTTACCAATTCTATTACAAATTTAGGCTTGACAATTGTTAAAAAGGTAAGTGAATTCTTACTTAAAAAATTACAAATTAATTTATTTGTATTTAAACAGATTGAAATTGACTCAGGCTCTGAGCTTACAGAACAATTTCTATTAGAAGAACTTTATCCTACCAATAGTCTGCATCGTCCGAAATTTGCCAAACCCAAAGGCCCACCTGGAAGGGGGCCTAAAAGGATGACAAAAAATCAATAAAGTATTCAATATTATATTATTAGGGTATTTTAAGCAATTGCTTTTTGATGGTGTGGGAAATTTTTGTATCTTTGTTAGCAACCAATAAAACTTGCCAGTAAGAGAAAAAGTTGATTGCTAAATAATAATTGCAATGTTTATTCCTTTGTTAGGTGATATAAAAGTATAGAATTTCATTTACTATATAAATTATTGGTGTATTGTGAAACTTGATTTTGATCCAGAAAAATCAATTTCTGCATCATCAAGTATACAAGTATTTAACGCTCAAGTATCTATTATGTTTTGTGCTGTTGTAGCTTTACCATATTTTTATACTGTTAAAAAATCAAACTCTCAGCTGCTTATGGATCTTTCCAAACCAAATTGTAAGTTATATATATATTTTTTTTTTTTAAATAAAGATAGTTTATTATTCACTTGCCAATTTGGTGGTTTTATTTTTATGTTTCCATGTCACTTTCATTCATCAAATTTCTAAAAACAGTTAAAGTAGATTCTAAAGGTGCCATAATTTCCATTGCTATATCTAATTCTTTGTCGCAAGCAAGGCTATCGATAATTTTTGACATTTTTAGCTTGAAATTTTCCTTTTTCTCTAAAAATTGGATTTGTTTTGTGTTGTCCGAAAAACCAACTAGTACTTCACAAGCTACATTTTCCTCGCCAACTAAATTAGATTTGTCTCGAGATTTGTCTTCTACAAAAGAGGTTAATACTGATATATACATTCAATATTGATAATGTTCAAACCTGTTTCAACTAATTTCTGATTAGTATCATGTCCTATATGAGTCCTCAAAAATGTAACATCATATTTTCCATCAATTATCTTGACAATCATTTCTGCAGGACAATATCCGTTAATTTTTTTAGATTTTCTACGTCTCAAGCCAGTGCTTCTGCTTTTGAAAATACCTGATCTATCACAAACGTATTTGGTTCTAGTGTAACCTTCAGTTTTATCGCTTCCATGAGCGATAACAAATAAGCCATTTATTTTAGATTCTTCATCTTTTTTCCATTTGGCGAATTCTTGTAGATTAGCAAAATCGTGTGATTCGATAACAATAGCTACATCATGTGTTTCGTGATAATGTTCAAATAAATCAGATATTTTTGAGTATTTGGAATCGTTTGCGCATAGTTTACACATAAGGCCCTTGTCTGGGTCATGGGTATTATGAGTTTTGCAATGGTATTTGAAATTCTTTATGTGATTAAAATGTTTTTGACATTGTTCACAAGTGTAATTGTAATGTTTGGGTTTAACGAGGTCGTGAAACTTATCTGAAATAGGCAAATAAACATTTTGATGTAACATTTCCAATTACTTACCTTTGTGAAATTTTAAAACGTGCCGCTTCAAGCCAGAGTATTTTATAAATTTTGTATTGCACTCGTTGCATTTTGCGACATGTTTCAGTTTCAGTGCTTTTAAAGGGGCAAGATCGTCTACTTTATCTAAAAATAAACTGTGGAACTTTAAATAACATTTACTAGCTTGAATTTAAGAAGAAATTATTTACATATTTGAATATTAGTATAGAGAATAGACTCCCTTAGATGCCCATGAAGTTAGTGTTGAAATCTTAATGAACAAGTTTGTAAAGAATTTAATTGACTTTAATTAGAGCTTAATTGCGTTGAAATCAGATGAAAAATTGAAGGAGCTGCGAGGCAAAAACTGTCTCAGTGTAATTTTTAGAAAATTTTCAATGTTGGATAAATTCAATTTTGAATCTTCTCAGCTGCAAAACGGTTGGAACTAAATTGAAATCAACACGTTTGTAGAGAATTTAGTTGGCTTTATGCATTGAAATCAGATGAAAATTGAAGGAGCTGTGAGGCAAAAACTGTCCCAGTGTCATGATAATTTCAGTCTTGAAGCTTCTCGGGTGTAAAATTGTTGAAACTAAATTAAAATCTCAATTAATAAGTTTGTAGAGAATTTAATTGGCTTCAATTAGAGCCTAATTACGTTGATATGTTATAAAAATTAAATTCAATCTTGAAGCTTCTCAGGTGCAAAACTATTGGAACAATTAAAATCTAAATTGAAGGGTTTGTACTCGGGTTTGTAGAGAATTAAATTGGCTTCAATTAGAGCCTAATTGCATTGAAATCAAATGAAAATTAACAGACCTGTGAGGTAAAAACTGCTCAGTGTCATTTTTGGAACTTTTTCAATGTTTGATAAGGTAAACGTACCAATTATTGACACTGATCCAATAATTGACACTGAGCCACATTTAATTCAAAAATAAGATCATCTTGGTGAACAGAGTATATTTACGTAAAAAATCTTAAAGAATAGAAGGTTTGGCAACCCTGTACCGATTGGGAGTTGAATCGCCAAACTCCATTTTCAGTTTTCATGCCGCCATTTGCAAAGTGTCTGTGACTGGAGAAAAACGTTAAGCAAATCGTTAAGGTAAGTAAATTAATTGATGCATTTAAACAATTGCTGAAATTATGTTTGATGTTTTATAAGTATTTGGGGGGCTCATCTAGACTATGAGGTATTGTTTCTATCATATTTCTGTGGGCATAAATCATCTAGTGCCAGGTTGCTGAGGTGTCAATGACTGGATCAAGTCTAAACCTAATATCACCAGTCATTGACACTAGTGTCAATGACTGGTACATCGATGCATATTCAGTGGATAATGCTAAGATACGCAAGTATGAGTGTGTAAGCTTCCCTATAAATATGGCTTCAAAAAAACAATCGGGTCCAGTTATTGACAGGGTGTCAGTTACTGGTACATAAGATGTCAATTACTGGAGCAACGAAATATGTGTTTCATTGGGTAGGTTGATATTACGCCTCTTTGGCGAATACCCAATAAAATACGTATAAACGTGGACCCGACAGAACAAACTAGATCTTGTTGAAGCATTGTCATTGTATATTTCAGATATGGCGCCAAAAAAAAATTACACGAAAGAGCAGATGAATGCAGCTCTTGAAGCTGTGGCAAGAGGAACACCTGTAGCCCAGGCTGCTAGACTACACTCTGTTCCTAGAGTGACGCTGATGTATAAATCACAAGGAAAGTTACCAGTGGATTGCCGAATGGGACCCAGCACCATTCTGACCACCAATGAAGAGAATCTTCTCGAAAAATGGATTCTTTCGATGGCTAAGGCACATCATCCAGTCAATAAGGAACAATTGTTGGATAGCGTCCAATTGATAATTCGAGACGATAAACGTCCAAACCCTTTTACCAATTTCCGTCCAGGCCGAAAGTGGTATGACTCGTTCATGAAAAGGCATCCAATTTTGAGTAAGAGGGTAGCCCAAAATTTAACACCTGCTCGTGAAAAAGTGTCTGAACAACAGCTTCGACAATGGTTCCAAGAAATAGAGCTTTATTTAAAGTCTAAATACCTGTTTGAGATAACCAACGATCCTACAAGAGTCTTCAATTCCGATGAGAGTGCATTTTTTCTACAGCCAAAGGCAGACAAAGTATTGGCAAGAAAAGGAGATAAGAGTGTGTATAATGCTGGAACAAATGACGAAAAAGAGAATCTCACAGTTCTGGTGACAGCAAATGCCGCTGGAGAATTTGCTCCGCCCATGGTAATTTTCAAGTATGAACGTATTCCAAGCAATATAGCAATCAGTATCAATAAAACTTGGGGATTAGGTCGGTCAGAAAGTGGCTGGATGTGTGGCGCTACCTTCTTTGAATACGTAACTAACGTGTTTGTTCCGTGGCTAGAAAGTCAAAAAATTAAACGACCGATTTTAATGTTCATAGATGGCCATGTGTCGCATATGACTTTACATTTATCACGATTCTGTTCAAGAAACGGAATTGAACTATTTGCCTTATATCCCAACTCGACTCATTTAATCCAACCCATGGATGTGGCGGTTTTCAAACCCCTTAAGCAATTTTGGAAATCATCTGTAAGAGACTGGCATCTCGACAACCATGGAATTAAGTTCAGGAAGGATAATTTTGGAACCGTATTTGAGAAGGCCTTATCAAAAATCACAAAAGAGACGATACAAAATGGCTTTAGGGGCTGTGGTATTTGTCCATTCAATGTTGAAAATGTGAAATTTTCAAAAATTTCTACCCAATCAGCAAACACTAAACAATTTCCCAAAGCAAAAGAAGGACTTTTGGTCTTGGAGAAAACCATTCCCTCCGAAAAACTAGAAAGATTTAGAGCTAATTTCAAAGCTGATTGGACTGGAAACATTGAAGATACTTCACTATTTAATGTATGGTCGGCAATGAAACTGGAATCGATCAGTAACATGAGAGTTGACAAAGAAGTCAAACCAGGCAATGAAAACAACCTTGGAAAAGAAGATACTATTGCAGAAGCTATCGAAGCGAATAATTCGAATGGAGAAGTTCTGCAACAAAAAGATAATGATATATCGGAGCCGGGATGTTCAGGTCTACATCTGGGACATCAGGCAGAAGAAAATCCCACAATAGATCCTTATGACACTCTCGCTACTCCAGAAAAACAAATAACGCCCGCTTCCGCTATCTTGTCTGCGACTAACCCCCTTTCATCGAAATCCATAACACCCTTAAATCTTTCATCATTAAAAGAACAAGTTCCCACACCCTTCAAGAAGGCGCTATTCTGGCCTGAAGAAATTAGTTCAGAAAAAAAACGAAAAAAAGAAAAAATTCCATCTGCTATCACCTCAGAAAAATGGCAGGAATACCATATGAAAAAGGCCAGAGAGAAAGATAAAATGTTGGAAGAAAAAAAAAATAAAGCGGAAGAAAGGAAACGAAAAAAGGAAGAGAAAGCCAGGCAAATTCAACAAAAAGCCAAAAAGAAGAAAGTTTTACCTTCCGACTCATCAGATTCAGGTGAAGAGTGGGTGGAAAGCGGGGATAGTTTGGATGATGTCAACATTTATTCGGAACGAGAAGAAGATGAAGATGAGTATGACCATATTCCATTGATCCGCTTGAAATCAAGAAAGACTTCAGGGTTAACCACGAATTTACAATATGATGATATACATGTTGGAGACTTCATTTTGGCTAAGTTTATGGGAGGGAAAAAGAAAGTTTTTTTTTATAAATATGTCTGTGTCGTACAAAAACTATACGCGCAGGATGATATTGAAGTTGCTTCTCTGAGATCCATAAACGGAAAATCCTGTTTTAAGATAGCAGAAAACGATATCTCTACTATAAGATTAGAAGACATCGTTGAAAAACTACCTCAACCAGAAATTCAGAACATCGGTGATAGAATAAAATATGTGTTCTCAAATAACATTGAAATAAATGAGGCCTAAAATAGATTATAAATATTATTTTTGAATAAAATGATTTTCCTTTTGTGTCAATTATTGGTGTGTCAATTACTGGAGCCTATGAAAAAATGAACTGTCAATAACTGGTGCCTCTGTTATATTTTATTCAAAAATTTTTTTTCCCGAAAAAAATTAAGTTACTCCTAATAAAACTATGGTCATCTTGTTCGGGAAAGTCCAAAAAATGATATAAAAAATATAAATTGGACCTTAAGTGATCAGTATAACCTTGGTGATTTTTTAAAAGGTTTTTCTTGCCTTAAGGTGTCAATAATTGGTACGTTTACCTTAAATTCAATCTTGAAGCTTCTCAGGTGCAAAACTGTTGGAACAATTAAAATCTTGATGAAAAGGTTTCTAGAGAATTGAATTGGCTTTAATTAGAGCCTAATTGCGTTGAAATCGGATGAAAATTAAAGGAGCTGAGACACAGAAACTGTCTCAGTCATTTTGGAAAATTTTCAATGTTCGATAATTTCAATTTTGAAGCTTCTCAGCTGCAAAACTGTTCAAACTAAATCAAAATCTCAATAGATAGGTTTGTAGAGAATTCAATTGGCTTTAATTAGAGTCCAATTACATTGAAATCGGACAAAAATTGACAAAGCTGTGAGGCAAAAACTGTCTCAGTGTCATTATGTTATGTTGTTACCTGGATGAAACTTTCTCGAGTGCTGTCTTAAATTTTTAAGCATTTTAAACTGTTTTTTGCAAATAGTGCAATAGTTAACTTTATCCATTTTTAAACAGGAGACAAGACAAAATCGAAAACAAATATTTATAACTATCTACAAATAAGGAGGAACATATAGGTAATAATTCAATTAAAACTAGATAACTAGGAAAAATAAATACAAAAATTCAAAAACCGAAACATAAACAAAATTTTTGAAAAGTTGGGTTAGTGTAGGTCAGCTGTCAGCTGTTGTTGAAGTACGTTCCAAAACATGCTCGGTGTCGGTGTTATTTTTTTAAAATAGTTCCAGAGCGATTCCTTTGGCGAAAAAACTGATGCAGCACGAGGCCCGAGATCACTTAAGTGCAGGTTTTTCAACTCGATTAGAAATCCCATGCCCCAAGTGCGATTCCAGTACACAATTTTTAGCTCACTTGGGAGTAATCCTTTTTGTTCTGAGTGCAATACTTGTCCGCTTGGCACGTTTTTAAACGTAAACAGTACAATATGAGTCAAACGTAGATTTCAGTTAATGCAATTTTTGCTCTGAGTGCCTCTAACAACACCGAATCTTCGGAACTGCTCCGGGGCGTTACGCGCTTATTCCTTTCGAAAAGTGTGTGTTGCACCTAAAGTGCTCAAGCTCGATCTATTCAATGCACGAAAGCCAGCACATTTATTCCTTTCAAATCGGGGTCGACTAACACCGGAACGAGTAGCTCTAGAACTTTAATGTTCTAAGCTCTTGAAAGTAATGCAACTAACCATTAAAGTAAAAAAAAGTCACGTTGGCAACACTGCATTAATTATTATGACTTGACAAGCCGAAAATTCAAAATGGCGAAATCAGTGTGCTGACGTTCAGCTGTAAGAAGAGTGTGTTTGTATTTGTATGAATTTTATTTTTGTGTTGTTATCAGTGTAGAGTTTTCGTGTTAGTTTTCGTTAAAAAAAACATTATTGCTATTCCAAAACCTGTTAAAGGTAAGATTTCCTATTACCCTATACAATTGTTTCTATAGCTTACAGTTAAAAAACCTGGTTTAGAGCTAATTTAATAAGCTGGAAATTCGAAAAATCGATTGTTGTGAGGTTAGGAGCAACGTCAGAAAGAGATTGGAATTTGTTATTTTTTTTAAGGTTTTTATTGTTAAATTATTCATGTCTTTATTTACTTCACTGTTTTCTTTGCAATATAATAAACACGTTTCTTATTGTTTAAACTTGTTTGTTGTCATCCTGGGATTTGGTTTTTTATTTGCTCCATTCAATTATTGGTTTGTGGGTTTTTTAGAAAAAAATTATAAAATCAAATACTTTTATAAACAGTTTTGGTGTATTCACATCCAAAACTCTGGCTAATTAGCTCAATTTCATCATTATTTTATTTGTTTTTGTATCTACCTACAAGGTTCCTCTGATTTAGATTTAAATTATTTGTACTTAGGGTCTGTTTATTCACCTTCTGATAAACTGGCCCTTAGTAATTAGGTAAATTTTAAATCATGAATATCAAAGTTTCTTTATTCAAGAATAACAAAAATTGCATTTTTTATTTCTGTTAAAATTAAAGCTAAAAATATAATCTACTATGTACTTACTCCTATTATAAACCACCCTCTAATTAAACATGCAACTTTAAGGTAGGGTCGTAAGATAAACGAATATTGGGGCAATCCACCCCAACTAAAATAATAATGTATTATATTGATCGTGCAACAGTGATAATAAGTGCAACAACCTCTTTGAAACTTTTAATTTTGTTATCAGGTTTTAAAGCCTACAATAATAAAATGCGGTCATTGTTATAAATAAGTCTGAATACAATAGGTACTACTCAATAAATTGATTAAATATTATATTGCAATTACTAATTACTGTTAAAAATATCTTAGTATTGAGTTTTTAAATACATGCATCAAAATAAAAAGTTGTATGAAAGAAGCTTTCTCTGAAGTCAATTTAGCTAATAGGGGTTTTTTAATTTTACACCCCTAATTACTGCATTATTGCGATTTCAATAATATTTTCAGAGATAGAAAATCTTAGCTGTGTACAAAAAAAAAATTGTACCTAAAAATAAAAGTATGTCAAATCCCATATCATACAATGTCGCTCCTACTCATTACTCAGCTTCTGCTTTGTATAGGTAGATAAATGGCTAATTGCCATTGAATTCCTTTCTATCTCTGTCTGTAAGTAATGTTATTATTATTTTTTTTCTGGGTTGTTTCTGATAATAATGTATGGGGTATCAAATAAGTAGGTATGTAGCTAAATTAGCTTTTGCTGTTTTTATTTTTTAAACAACATTGTGTTGTTGATAATAATTACTTATCTGAATAAGCTCCTATGAAGATATTTGGACTGGATTGAAAGCTTTTACCTATTAGTCCGGGGGCCGAGGACCTTTTTTCCAAATCATTAATAACAAGCTAGTTTTTTCAATGCAGCTTCATTTCACCAGGACGCCCAACTTTTTTCTCTTCGAAAATTGCGAAAACAGGTAGCTAACATACTGCGCAGGTGTGAAACATGTCGATTTGGTGACTATGAAAATTTAATTAATAACAGTTAGTTTTTCAGCTAAATGTTGAGATAATTTTATGAATAATTTGAAACAACATTTGTCCGACAAAATAAAGGGTTTGGTCTACGATGTCCCCCCCCCCCTCAAACATGTAGCAATTACGGGATCACCCCATTTGTGCTAATGTTCATTTGCTCTACCCACCCGAAGTCGCCTTCGGGCGGGAACGTCGGACGAGCCGAAGTCCGACCGGAGTATGACCCTCATCGAAACGAATGCAGTTGTTGTAGCGCAAATGGGTACAGCGTTGCCGTTCCCTCTCCATCTGGCGGGTATTTAAAATAGAAAATAGAATTCTATTTCGATATTTTTCAAGTATTGAGTGGGTGTGGTGTTTTGTTTACTTTAAAAATGGAAAATTTTAACTTTTAATATTTTATTGGTTAAATATTAATTTATTTTAACCTTCCATCGCGAGTTTTATAACATCATTAGTCACGCTGTATCACAGAGATACATATACTAAATCATTGATAAAAAAATTGAACCATCTGATGAATTTCGGTTTTACAATTTCTATGTATTGATTCGGGTACTCAACAATCAAAGATAGAACATTTTCACTGAGAAAGAGATTCCAGAAGTTGAATTCTATTTTCGCTATCTTAATGTTTCGAGCGCGCTCGGACTGCTCGGAGTTTACCGAGTGTAAAGCCACTGTGTGCAGAAGCTAGTTTCTGGATAGGAATTAGCAAATAAGCTATCCAAGTGCTCCTAAATAGTCGAAGAAGAACAGTCATTCAGATTTTTTTCATTACCAGGAATCACCTTTTCTACATTTAAAATCGATGAAGAAACAAGCACAACCTGAATCGCAAGCATCCCATCGAGGCTTGCGGGTGACGTCACCACTATAAGAGGCTATGCTGCTAATAGTACTAACGTCACTCGCAGGCCTTGCCGACTCGAGAATTGGCGAACGTACGCCTTATAAGGAAAAGCAATCCTATAGTTTATGATTCTTGCTATGCAAGTGTTTCCAAATAGTCAAAAAAAATTTGATCAGTTAATCATTAAACTAAATAGAGATTTTTTCTCATTATTAGGAAATGGAAATTGTTGGCTTCACGTTTAACTAGTTGGTGGTTAAAAGCTAAATTTTTTCTGGATAGGACATAGGTGCTCAAGTGCTCCTAAATAGTCAAAGAAAAACATGAATTAGTTATATTATTTGAATTATAGATTTTTTTTGTATTATTATAGGGAACTGAACTACTGGCCTTACGTTTACTTGGGGGTGTAAATATTTGCAGCGAAACTGATAACACTGATAACAGTGGCTATAATGTTGTAATAATTGGAATTAGGTGCTATCTTAGTGCTCCTGAATAGTCGAAGAAAAACTTGAACTATCTAAAACTTCAACTTTTTGGGAGCACTTAAATAGCACCAAATTCCAATACAACATTTTAGTCGCAGTTTTCAGATTCGCTGCAATGCAAATACATCCCCAAGTAAATGTAAAGCCAGCAATTCCTTAATGAAAAAAAAATTTGTACTTCAGTTTAATAATTAACTGATTCAAGTTTTTCTTCAAATATTGAGAAGCACTTAAATAGCACTAATTCCTATCCATAAACATTTTAGCTCTGACACACCACCAACTGAACGTGAAGCCAATAATTTGCCAATATTGAAAAAAAACTGTAATTCAGTTAATAATTAACAGATTCAAGTGTTTCTTTGACAATTTAGGAGCACTTAAATAGTAGGTACCTAAATTCAATCCAAAAACATTTCAGCCTTTAACGGTTTAACGGCCAATTTCATGATAGAGAATTAAAAGTTACTTTAGCTAAATAGACTTTTAGGATGGGATTTTTCTACTTCAAATGGACCTTTATATTTAAAGTTTACTTTAAGTTGATTATGAAATTGGCTGTAAGCCTCTAACACACCCCCAATAAGTAAACGTGAATCCAGGAATTTCCTAATATTGAAAAAAAATCTGTAATTCAGTTAATAATTAACTGATTCAATTTTTTCTTTGACCAGGTATTTAGGAGAACTTTAAAAAGCATATTATCTAAATTCTGATACCAAAGAAAAATTTAAAAAAATATTTTTCACTACAGGGGACTGCTATATTTCATATTAACCTAGCAATCCCTTCGTTTTTTTCCATATGGGACTGCTAGGTTTATTGACCTAATATTCTGGGAAATCAATAAATAATACAACCCCATATGATTTTAAATCTGGGGAGATACTTTGATAGGTATATGTATTATTGACTTTACATTTATAAATAATTTTACACGTCTGTATAAACTCTACAAGGACTCTACGCTTTAATAAATAAGTATATTATATATTTCTAAAATCTTAACTCTACTGTAGACTGTAGTTAATAAAAATAAAGTCCACAATCATTCACTAAATACAAATACATTTTTTAATTTATTTTTATTATTATCAGCTGATTACACCAGATGTTCCGCGCGCCCGCCGCGTACACAAACCTTCATAAGCTT